CTAAGCCCCAGCACAGGGTAGGGATGAAGACCTCCACCATAGCAGCAGCCCCTTGAAAATTCCCCATGCTCTTTTTTGCAGCAGAGCAGTCAGCCTCCCTGGCTGCACAGAAGCCTTTCATAGCCATGCTCTGGCCATAATCAACACAGCAGACCCTGCCAAACCCTGGCGCTGGCTGCTCCTGGCCATGAGAACACCAGCCCGGCTGTACTCTGCTCCAGCATAGCTAGCAGGGAGGTTGGGTAAAATTGAGACATTACCCTGATGACCACTCAGCCAGCGCCCTGGTGCTTTTAGGGCTCCTGCTGTCTGTATTCATATCTTCCTTGCCCTTCACCATGCTCTCATCATGTATCAGCTCCTTCCCGAATAGCTGCAAGCCCACAAGCAGACAGAGCTGCAAAACTGCTGTGAGCAAGCTGGTCCTAGGACAGCCCCCAGCCTCCCTGCAGCATGTGTGCCTGGAGTGCAAGCACCCTGGAAATCCCAGGAGGAGCTCACAGTGGTTGGGGCAGGGATGAGTGACAGCACCTTCCCCTCCCATTGCTGAGCTGTGCAGCCCATTTTACGAGGCAGGGAAGGCTGCTCAGCCCATTAGCTCTCCTTCCTACAGTCGCCTTCTCCAGCTGCATTACCTCCCGCTGAGGCACTAGGAGCCACATGCAGCAGCACAGAGAGGGATGCCTGGCTACACACAGCATGAACATAGCCACACGTGCTGTGACAAGAGCAGAGGGAGGTCGTGAGCAGGTTACAGAAATGGAGCCACACTCCTGGTGCAGAGAACAGCACGGGCTCCTGCTGCAAAGTGCTGACAGGTTTTCCAATACCCTCAATGGCTGGGAAATGGCACTTGCTGCCACCCCAACTCCTTTCCATCCTGCTCCCAAAGCAGCCAGGCCAGTCTCTCCTTGCAGCACCCTGGACAGCTGGAAGCACTGGGGAGAGCAGTGGCAATGATGGCCCCGAAAGCATCCCTACCGCCCCTGCCCACTCCAGCACAACCCAGGGTTGTCCTCATTTCAGGCTGGGCAAGCAGCGGCCCAGCCCCAGAGGTAGCAAGATGAAGCCAAACCTCCTAATGGAGCTTGACAGCAACGGGATTAAAAGCACAAGTGAGATCTCAACCCCTCTGCAATCAGCTTCTGCCTTGGAAGAGATGAACCAGAAAAAAACCCTCCTGGCAGCAGGTAGAGGATGAGGAGCCCACACACACACAGGGTGAGGGCAGCAGGGGTTGGGGCGAGCCTTGCCTGTCCCAAGCCCTCCTTGCTTGCCCTACTAACCCATTGTGAACACCAGCAACAATGGTGAAGGGTTTCAACAGGAACAGCCCCACATCCAACTGGTCCCTGTGGGATGGTACTTCTACCTCCCTAAACTGTGGGTGCAGAGCATGCCATGCCATGTGCTGCTCACCCCTTCCTCTTGCCATCTGCAAGCTCAAGGCATTGCACAGCACCTGCAAGAACCCAACTCCCCCCTCCCTTCTTTGGGTGCTGCACTTGGAGCAGTGCCACTGATGCTGGAAACAACACCCAAGAAGCCAGGTCCAAGATGGAGATGGGAGGACTCACTTGGATGCAAGTGGGTGCTCGGGAGGACACTCACAACCCCTATTTCTGTGGGATAGGATGTGCACAGACCCTTGCAGCTGATACCAATTCTCATCCGCCACAGAGCGCAGCCATGGTTCAACTAAAATAACACTGACCCATTTCCCACCTGAGGGATGCTCCAGCAGCATTGGCTGCCCCAGCTCTCCTTCACCCTCCTTCCTGCAAGCAGGAATATCTCAGCATCTTCCCCCAAACACACCCAAAGTGACTTCTGCAGAGATGAAGTGGGGCCTAGCTTGTACAAACCATGCTGGGGTGGCCACAAAGTCATCCTCCAAAAAGCCAACAAGGCACAAGCACCACCCCCATCTGAAGCCCAGCAGCCAGAGGCTGCTCTCTCACCTGGCAGTGTTTGCTCCCAGCAAAATGCAGGGGAAAGTGGGGCTTTTTACTGCAAGAAAAAGGGAGCCACTCCAGGGACCAGTGCATGCACTCGGGAGCAGTGGGAAGAGCTGATGGGTTTTGGCACATTGCTCAGGCTGAAAAGCTAGCTCCAGCCAGAGACCTTGTTTTGCAGTGACCTGTATCAAGAATTAGCTTATTCCTTTTTCTTGCCAAATGGAAAGAAAAAGAAATCCTTCCAGGTCAGAGGAAAGAAAAGAATTTACTCATGGGTCAAGTGAAACAATCTGATGCAGGGTTGAGTGCACTTTTATTCTCCCCAAACCAGGAAAAGATTCAATTTCCATCTTAGAAAAAAAAAAATAAAAAAAAAAAATCTAAAAATAAAGAGACAAAGCTTTTTGGGGTCAGAAGCACTAGATTTTGGTTTTTAAGCCCAAATGACTTGCTGCTTTGAACCCCATTTTTCAAAGCGTGGGTTGAGCCACATGTGCAGAGGTGTGGGGATGAGCTGATGCACTGATCTGGAAAACTTCAACCACACTGAGCTAGCACCAGCCGCAGCAACAGCAGAGGCCATCCCAGGACCCCCCATGCCCTCAGCATGTAGCTTGGGTACTCCAGCCTTAGCCCTGACAAGCCCAGCTGTGCACCGGGAGGGAGGCATTTGTTTTGCTGCCTCTGCAGCACTTTGTTCATCTGAAGCAAGCTGTCACTTCGCAGCCTCCTCCCTGTCAGCTAAATGCTTCCTGACAGCCCGTTTAAAACTCAAAGCACCAGGTTACTGCCATAGCCAGGCAGCTGCTCACAGACACCACTTCCATAGCCTCCCCCCTGCCAAAGTGACATCCCTGCACAGAGCATCACTCCTCACCTCCCCAGACCCACCCTCACCCCAGGGTCCTTCTCCTGTTGGCTCAGGTCTGGCTCTGCTCCTGCATGCCTGGCCCCAACTGACCTTCTGTTTCCATCTCCAATGGAAACCTCAGTTTCTACCTCCAGCACTTGCTCCCCAGCACCTCAGTGGGGAGGAGAGCTGCCTGCCCCAGCTCCATCCTGCTGGCAGGGCTGACCCCAGACCCCACACGTCACTCAAGTCCATTAGCAAGTCCCTGGAGCACACACCTCACTGGTGTTTGCTTCACCCCAGCTTTTAGGGAGAGCTGCAGAGCTGCGCTGCCCTTCAATTTTTAATTTGCTCTAAACATTTTGGTTCTCTGCCTGGGGGACTCCCAGTCGATAACCTCTGCCTGAACATGGCTGCCCCACAGCTATGGGGAGGGTGGAAATGGGGAGCAAAGGAAAGGAAAGCAGCTCCACCCCAAGATGCTCTCTTTCGGAGGAGTGGGACCCCTTTGCATTCATCCCCACTCTAGAACAAGGGGCACACACACACAGGGTTCTCTAGCAAAAGGACCCACAGTGTCCCATGGAGTTGTTCCTCATGAGGATGGGGGGATTCCTAGCCTCTCCAGCACAGACCTGACACCTGCAGAGAGAGGGTTGTCACAGGGCAGGACACCTTCCTCCTTTTCATCAGACACCTCTGCGGGGCTGAGTCCCTCATGTCTTGCTCAGGTTTGTTCCTGATGCCTGGCACAGCCACCTCTCCTTCCCCACTGACTGGCACCAGCACAGCAATGCCCCAGAGCAGGGACACAAATGCAGCATCCCTTTTCAGTCCCTGAGGCATCTTTCTCTTTTTCTACTGCCTTAGGCAATAAACATACAAACAGGGACCTGCTAAGCACGAGAAACATGACCTGAGCTGCTCTGGGGAGGGAAATGCTGCCGCACAGATGGGAAAGATCAGCCCAGGTCACCCTGGAGCAGGGGAGCAGCTCCAGGTGGGTTTTCTGTCCCTTGGGTGCTGGGGGGCTGTCCAGGCTCAGGGTTAAAGGACAGTTCTTCACACACCTTTTGTCTTGAAAGGGTGTGGAAAACTAGTCAAGCACCTGCAGATGACTCATGACTGGCAAAAACTCATGGGAAAAAATATATCCTGATCAGTTAAGCACCAGCATGGAATAGCAGCAAAGCCCTGCACCCCACCTCCAACAGGTACCTCGGAAGAACACACAAAAAGTGCAGTGGTTAACAGCACAGAATATGCTCACTTTCTGCACACATGTAAGCTCCCAGTGTTCACACACACCCCTACCAGACCCCCACTGCATCCATCCCCGAAAGTCCCCAGTTACATCTCCAGGCACTCCCAGCCAGGAACGGGGATGCTGCCCACCCAGCAGGATCTTCTTCAGCTCCTCACCTCCCTCCCCCCCCCCGCCCCTCGCCGTTTTAGGCTGAAGGGAGCACAGAGGTAGCCTCTGCTGCCACCTAGCAGTGATCTGGCAGGGACACGGGGACAGCTCCTCCAGCCCGCTGCAGCTTGGTGACAGGCAGGGGAAGATGGGGGGGGTGTCTCCTCAGGACTTATCAACAGTTCTCACCTCCCTCCAGCCAAAAGAGGCCTCCTGCGGCGGAGAGGGTGGTGCTGGAAGCAAGCAGCCCAAGGCCAGACAGCTGTGAGCAATCTCAGCTCCATTTCAGTCACACCCTATGCAAGATAACTGAAGCAGGCCCCCAGCTTGAACATGGGACCACAGAAGTCAGGAACCTCTGAACCTCCTCGCAGGGTTGTACAGCCCCTGCTCAAGGCACAGCTCCTTACATCTCTGCTTCAGTCTCCTTCATTAGCTTTCTGCATGGTCATTTTCCAATGGGCCCCAGATTTCCTTTCTCTACTTGTTTTTGGCCCTTTCACATCCAAAACCACCCCTAAATGCTGAAATTAGAACAAAATAGTCTAGAATGGTTTGGGTTGGAAAAGAGCTTTAAAGATAAATCCAAACAATAAACTTCTTTTGCTGGTCTTTTATCCACTGCAATATTAATGTTAAACCCTATCTTGAGGTTTACTTGCTGGTCTGCAGTGAAGCATACCTCTGGCACATTTGCAGGTGGGTACAGAACGGCCCTTGAAACCCCTGAAGCCCTGAGGAACAGTCTGGGCACCAGCAAATCAGCTGAACACCAGCATGCGCAACCAGGGTACTTTTATTTTCACAGCTCTCCTTTGCATTAACAAACTCAAGCCCAAAAGGATTTCTTGCCACAGGCAAGGATCCACATAAACATGGCCAACATAAGCTTCCTTTCTCTGGATTCTTCAGAGATCTCATTCAGTATCGGTGACATGGGATTCCTGATGCTTCGTATAAGCGGCATCACAATTTAACAACAAATCAGAGCATTTTCTTCTTGCAAGTTAACAGCACCTCCATGGACTGAGGCGTGAGCTGGGATACAACCAGTTCTTCTAACAGCAAAGAGGGCATAGAGCATCCGCTATGCTAAAAACCAAAACCAGCTCTTCACACAATGTCAAACTGCTCCTGCACTGAAGGAGGGATGGACAAGTTGTCAGTTTCCCTCTCCTAAACTTAAAGGATATATAACAATGTGACACTTACATGTTCTCCTGAACCATTAAAGAGCAATAAACCAGCACAACAAAACCAAACTATTTTCCTAACAGTAAAAGCAACATTTATCACATGTACCAGGCACATATGGAAAGATGAAAGACTCCAAGTTCTTCCAAGCGATTAAACATTTCTGAACAAAGAAAGTAACAGCAAGGTCACAGAGAGGACCTCTGCTGCCCCCGGCAGCTGCTCCAGCATCTCCCCTCTTCTCACACCTTTTTTCTCAGGCTGGGGAGCCAGTGGAAGTAGTTACTGGAAGAGGCTAAGCGTGCAGCTGCCAACACTGCAGGTAGCGTGGTAGGAGGGAGGAAAAGTTTCCGGGATAGCCCCTGGTCAGGCAGCCCACTGTCAAAGCACAGGCTAACTGCAAGATTCCCAGGATGGTCTTTGCTCCTCATTTGCTCTTCATCTGCATAAGGAGGGACACAGAAAAGAAAGATGGTATTGACATTGGAAACTCTAAACTGAAGCTCCAGTTTAGACTGAAATATATTTTGCCTGGACCTTACCAGGTCATGGCAAGAGGACTTGCTACTGCCCACGTATTTGATGAGCCCAACACTGTATAATCCAAGAGTCTGTCACCCACTCCCCTCTCAGTGTTTCCCCCAGTTTCCCCAGAGGTGGGAAATCAGCTGTGAATTGAGTGCTCCTGCCTGGAGAACTGGGTCTCCACTCCAGACAGACAGCTCAGCTCCAAGGCACAAACAGGCACTGCCTTTAGTGAGTCATTAATCTACCTCATAAATTGGGCAAACTCTCATATGGGTGTTGTAAATTTCTTCATCATTTGGAAGATGGAAAAAGAACACCCAGACAGGGACCTTATAAGGGTTTAAAAAAACCCTTTTGTCCCTTACAGTTGAGAGATTGAGAGACTCAGTATGAAACAAACAGACCAAGGTATGAAGTGGAGAAACAAAGACTTCTGCAGGAAAGCAGCAGAAAGTCTAAAAAAGACAACAAAAAAAATCAGAGGGAGAAATAAACCTCAATTCATTTGTTCCCATTAAAAATTTAGGAATCCATTTTGCTACACAAAGGTCAAACCGATGCGTTGCACCCAGCCATTCATTACTTTCACATCTCCATCCTGCAGAAAGACCAACACTTTCATCTAGCAAAGAAGCAGCACCAGTCCTAAAATACCCAGTAGTGACTGCAAGACTCACAGCACAGTAACAGACTGCTCGGCTTTCCGCCGTGTTAACTTTAACTGACAAATCTATTCGTACTGTTATGGTTGTCCATAAATGGCATTGCCATAAGGAGAACAGAGGGATGCACAGCTTCACGAAGTTGGAGATTGTTGGAAAATCTTTCTATCTGATCAGGCTTATCTTGGCTTATTCCTCCTGGTTCCTTGGAGCACATATAGGAGGTGTAAGAGTCTTCCACTGACTTGAATAAGACAACAGGCATTGAGGACTCTTCAAGCCAATGAGGTGTCTGCAAATGTATATAAAAAACTCAGGAGAGGATGTGATTATGCATGCTTGGTTCATTAGCTGCCCTAATCTTTATTACCTCTCAAAGTCTGCAAATGGATGATTTGAAAAAACAAACCAAACAAACCCCAAAACCCACCCCAACAAAGACCCCTAGTTCCTCACAACCTTGGCTAAAAGGTAGCTTTTCATACACAGCAAGCTGAAGAGTGACAGATCATCACAAGATACAAATCACCATGTCTTAGCAAGAAATTAACATCTGTTTCACCTATCAGCAGCCCCACGCAGAACAAATGATGGCAATGACACAGGGAGTTTCTGCAAGCGAGTGGGAGCTGAGTCAGAAGAAATCCCTCTGCATTTTTGCTGAAGAATACAAATTAAAGTTTCAGGGATTGTCACACGTCTCAGCACTAGACAAGGACTAGAGCCAATGTCTGGTTTTGTTAACTCAGTACAGATGAGAAAAGTAGTGAAACTACAGACAAGCAGCAATTCACCTTGCCAACCACAGCTGTTCAAAACTAAGGTGCTTGCTGTACAGGGTTCTTCTGTTGCCAAGGCAGAAGAAAGGCATCCACCTTCAGAGGGGTGGATCACCGTTCAGAGGTGCTTCACCCATTGGTGAGAATGCACTCAGAGGATTAGCCCAGAACAACACATTTTTTTTTACACAAGCAGATTTAAGCAATTTAAATTGTCGCCCACAAGGCACTCCTGACAGACTTCTGAAGTATCCAGGAGACCTACAGTGGTTGGGTAGCAGAAATTCAGTGCCAAGAGAGAATAATTTGGGTAACAGGCATCAACAGAGTCCATTTAACCAACGACTCAGCTTGATACCTCCAGCCCACTGAAAACCTCTGCCTAACATGCAGAAAGAACAAGGTTAAAAGATAATAATTATCTCCTCTTGTTACCCATGCTATCCTTGTTGCAGTGCAGGCAGTGTCACTGACATTCCAAGGCAAAGCAGAAACAGACAGGGTGTAAGGGTGGACAATAAAAACATCTGCTCGCACTGGAAAAAGCTGGGATGGACATAATTAAAACAGGAAGCTGTTCAGTTTACAGAAGAGGCAAACCAGAGAGGATACCCTAGAAAGTGCTGTGAGGGGCAGGACGCAAGGCAGTACCTACTCTTCCTCCTGAATAACACAATTAAGAACACTACCACTGAAAAGGAAAACATGAGCAGTGAAAACTGAAAGGGAGAAAATGCCACTTGGTGATGTTGCCACAAAACCCTATGACCAAGAGATGAGCATGAATCAGAGAAACAAGGTCCTCCCATCTATCCTCATAAGCAGCTGACTGGTGCATTTTACTCCCCCTAATGGCTATAGGTAGGATTATTTTTTCCATTCCACTGTCTTCCTCAATATAAATTCTTGTCACTGCTTCTAAAGACTGTAACAGAGATCACAGCCAGGGACAGAAAATGTGCCCAGGACCTCTCCATTCCAGTTAGAAAGATAGAATCACAGAATAGTTAGGGTTGGAAAGGACCTTAATATCATCCAGTTCCAACCCCCTGCCATGGGCAGGGACACCTCACACTAAACCATGTCACCCAAGGCTCTGTCCAACCTGGCCTTGAACACTGCCAGGGATGGAGCATTCACAACTTCCCTGGGGAGCCCACTCCAGTGCCTCACCACCACAGTAAAGAACTTCCTCCTTATATCCAATCTAAATTTCCCCTGTTTAAGTTTTAACCTGTTACCTCTTGTCCTATCAATACAGTCCCTAATGAAGAATCCTTGCCCAGCATTCTTATAGCCCCTCTGTCAGATACTGGAAGGCTGCTATGAGGTCTCTACGCAGCCTTCTCTTCTCCAGGCTGAACAGCCCCAACTTTCTCAGCCTGTCTTCATATGGGAGGTGCTCCAGTCCCCTGATCATCCTCATGGCCCTTCTCTGGACTTGTTCCAACAGTTCCATGTCCTTTTTATGTTGAGGACACCAGAACTGCACACAATACTTCAAGTGAGGTCACATGAGAGCAGAGTAGAGGGGCAGGATCACCTCCTTCGACCTGCTGGTCACGCTCCTTTTGATGCGGCCCAGGACGCAGTTGGCTTTCTGGGCTGCAAGCCCACACTGCAGTCGGCTCATGTTCAGTTTCTCATTGACCAACACCCCTAAGTCCTTCTCCTCAGGGCTGCTCTGAATCTCTTCTCTGCCAAACCTGTAGCTGTGCCTGGGATTGCTCCGACCCAGGTGTAGGACCTTGCACTTGTCATGGTTAAACTTCATAAGGTTGGCATCAGCCCACCTCACAAGCACGTCGAGGTCCCTCTGGATGGCATTCCTTCCCTCCAGTGTATCAACCGAACCACACAGCTTGGTGTCATCAAGAAATTTGCTGAGGGCACACTCAATCCCACTGTCCATGTCAGCCATGAAGATGTTAAACAAGACCGGTCCCAACACCGATCCATGAGGGACACCACTCATTACTGGTCTCCAGCCAGACACTGAACCACTGAACACAACTCTTTGTGTGTGGCCATCCAGCCAGTTCTTTATCCACCGAGTGGCCCATCCATCAAATTGATGTCTCTCCAATTTAGAGACAAGGATGTCGTGTGGGACAGTGTCGAACGCTTTGCACAAGTCCAGGTAGATGACATCAACTGCTCTACCCCTGTCCATCAGTTCCACAGCCCTACCATAGAAGGCCACCAAATTGGTCAGGCAGGATTTCCCCTTAGTGAAGCCATGCTGGCTGTCACCAAACACCTTGTTGTTTTTTTGTGTGCCTTAGCATGCCTTCCAGGAGAATCTGCTCCAAGATTTTGCCAGGCAGAGAGGTGAGACTGACTGGTCTGTAGTTCCCCGGGTCATCCATTTTCCCTTTCTTGAAAATGGGGGTTTTATTTCCCCTTTTTCCAGTCATCAGGAAATTCACCTGTCTGCCACGATTTTTCAAATATGATGGACAGTGGCTTAGCAACTTTATTCACCAGCTCCTTCAGGACCTACAAATGGATTTCATCAGGTCCCATGGACTTGTGCGTGTTCAGGTTCTTAAGGTGGTCTCAAACCAGATGCTCTCCTACAGTGGGCCTACGGTCTTCATTCTCACGGTTCCTGTGTCTGCCTTCCAAGGTGATCCTATGCTTTGAAACTCACACAGTTTAGTACTTGCAGGGGACCCTACTGCTATCTACCCACCTGCCTCTATCTCACTGTACTTTAGCCCTGCACATGCTACCAGAATCTCTTCTCTCATTCTCTCAAGGTCCCTTTTCCCAGCTTGCTTTCTCTCATTCCCTTTCATGTAATAACCCTGACACTCTGATTCTTCCAGCTCTGCTCTAGACTGAGAGAACCAACTGAGAACTGACAGAACTGACTCTCCCCCTCACCCTTTTAGAAAGATTTTTGTCTCAGCCACTATCAACCTGTAGATGTGTAAGGAGCTGTGGTTATCCAAAACCATGTAGGCACATTCCCATTTCCAGCTCTGCAATGCTTTCTGCAGCTCAACAAACCTTGAGCAATACTGGCTCCTTGCTGAACCCAGAGCAGAGAATATTCTGCAAAACATCATGCTGCAGGCCCTTTTAGACTCATCATTAACCACTACTAAAGAAGCAACACCAGTGCCTCAAAGCACAGCCCAAACCACAACCTTCCCAAATCCACTCTCCTAAGGAGACATGAGCGATGCAGCCCCACAGTAACCCCCAGTTACTCCTAGCAACCTTCGAGACTGTTAATGGAGGGGAAGTAGAGCAATGAAGAAGGGCCAGGTTTGACCTATAAAGTGCTGAAACAGCCTTGCTCCCACAATACTTTCATGTGCTAGTGGAGCACTAGTGCATCAATAGCATCAGAAACAACAGCAAAGAAGAAAATGTATAGCTCTGAGTTCATGCTAACAGCCAGTCATAATTTGGCAGTCACTTAAAAAAAAGGAATACATGTTAAAGCAATCAAAGGGTTATTAAAATAATCTAAAACCAAGAATAACCCCTCTCAACAGCAACAGCTGTGAAAAACACCCTTACCTTAAACACTGCCACAAGATCTGTAGAAGTTTCACCTGTATCCTTCTGTGCAAGTTCAGTGTCTTGGTGTGTTGTTCCTGGGACACTCACTTCATACAAAAGTGGCTGCACATCATCCTGTGTCTCCTCATTATCAGACAGATGCCACTGCTAAGGAGTTGGACAAAGCAAGAAAAGGTAAAGCCAGTGTGGGTAGAAGAAAGCTGCATGCACTGGAGCAAATTACAGAACAATCAAGATCATACCACTAAAGAGTAACTGAGAGAGAAATGCAAAGGAGCTCATCTGTTCTACTCAGAAGTTTTAACATTTCTATGTGGAGAGCTTGGGCTACTTCTAAGGGGCAGAAATAACATGGAAGGACAGGAAGTTATGTGAACAAGAAATTAACTCTCACTTGAACTTTGCCATAGTAAAACTTATCACTTGGAAAGTACAGTTTTATTCAAGCAATGTTTTCTGCTTATTGCTTGCTGCCTTCCAAAAAATTTTACCACGGAGAAGTGTCCCAGCATAACAGAGCTGATACAACACAGTGTCCAGATGTTTTGCACTTAAGGAGGGTGGGAGGTAAAAAGAAAGTTGTTAATCCTGATGAGGCAAATCTAAGATCAGACAATGCAAAGGGAGTTTCCCACAGCTTAAGAGGAGTTACCAGAAAACACTAGCTAAGCAGTTAACAAGTGTCATATTAGACACATTTCATTCCAGTTCGAAATATTTTGAACTACTGAACTGCCACTGATGATCATGTTAATGATGCACCAAGGAAGAAAAGGAAACATTATGGAGAGCTAAACAGCAGACAAGGAAATGTTTAAGGTCCTACACAAAGGGAGATCTAGAGGACTGACTGCTATTTCTGGAAATGGATTCTAATAAGACCCTTGAAATCAGACATGACAAAACCACCTGAATGCATTTACATTCCTCTAGTCTTGAAATCACCAGCTATGTCTGACATTTACACAAATGGATCTTGCTATAGTTAACTAGTTAGGGTACTCTCTGTATTTTTCCATTAATGCCCCCCAAACACAATGAACTCAGATGTGCAGCCTATGTCATGTTAATTTCTTGCAAATACATATGTAAGACACTGGTTTGCGTCCTTCAGTTCAGATAATACAGCAACTGTGCAAGGCCATTAATATCTAAGATACATAGCTTTCATGGTTTCTCTAGAACAGAAACACAGTTGGCTAAAACAAAGCCTAGTTAAATGACTGCTTTACAAGTCACTAACATTACAGTAGCTTTTACTCTTATTTCAGAGAAATGTCGGAAAACAGCCATGGAGCAGGCCCACTGCTGAATGCTTCAAACAGCTGACATTTACTCAGAGGTGCTTTGGCCCCTGCAGTAAAATGTGTCATGAAAATACTACAATTTAAATAACACAGAAAAGTAGAGAGAGTCACCTGTAGCTAAGTGTTCCTGGCATTTCTAGCATTTAGTACTACATCTAGTATCTAGTACTACATTTGACTGCACTCAAGACCTGGGTTTTACTCCCTCCTTAAGCCCTCTGTTCACCAGTTTCTTCACCTGCTAAACACAAAAGGGCTTCTCTTTTAGCATGCTCTGAAATAAAAGGTGTAAAGTAGCACCAACATCTAGAGATCATTCACTTTTAGAGTTATCTTTTTAATAAAACTGTAGTTGTACGACCTTACCTACTGCATCAACCAGGACTGCAAATTGCTTCTTTCAAGTAAGTTTGGAATGAGTAAGACCCTTAATTGAAATAATATACCACTAATTCTTATGGTCTTTTTCTACATTTAAACAACACCCCAAGTTATTACACATCCTTTGCCAAACCCCAGAGATGCGAGAGGAAAATACACCACTTCTTAGCACTTTCATGTTTTGCACCGCTGGGGGCCAAGTCAAACTGATCTCAAGAATCTAGTACTGGAGTTCTCAGAGTCCATTCCCCCCCAACTGAAAAAATGTGGTGCATATGAGAGGTTGGTGAAATCACTGGCACACAGACTCCCTGAAGTCTGCAAAATGATCAGAGGACAAGCAACTAGAGATGTATTTATGGTCCACATGTAACTGTTTTTATATTATGGTTCTGCCTGCTTTTTATAAAAGCAAAACACCAACTCCACAAAAAAACTGCATGGGACTAAACGATACATGTCTACTGACCCCTGGAGCTGGTTTTACTGAGTGATAGCTACACCATAGCCAAACTCCCACCTGATCACACAGTTCATTCCCATCCAGCTTTGAAGTTGCTGTTGCGTTATCTGCATCTAGAGACTCCTGCTGCAAGCAAAGGTCTGGCTCCACCAGTTCAGCATTCTCCCAGTTCTCACGGGGCTGAACATACAAGGCCAAAGGATTCAGTTCCTTGAATCCCTAGTAGTAAACAAACAAACAAAAACCAATATAGTCAAGAAAAACATTTTGTAACTGTCACAAAGAATAAAAAAATCAGATTTCTAACAGGTTTTATGAAGAAGCATACCACCCACAAGTTAGCTCCAAATCCTTGCAGAAACTGTCTTCCTACAAATATCAGCTCCTCTCCTCTGAGCAACAAAATTACTCAGCAGTGGTCCACTCCCCCCAAAATCAGACATACACATGCAAAAACACAATCATAGCAATCCTGCCAAAACACACATTCTTTATCTGTTCATTAAAACAAAAAATAGAAGTACAGCAGACTCTAAAGCCTGACTTTCTGCTGAGATACAAAATTGTGGCAGTACCTTTTTAAGGGTTTTCATATCCACACAGTTCTTACTGAAACTGAGCTGAGAGATTTAGTGTGAGGTGTCCCTGCCCATGGCAGCGGGGTTGGAACTAGATGATCTTAAGGTCCTTTCCAACCCTAACTATTCTATGATTCTATGATTCAGACAACGACACAAATAGACCCAAATCATAAATGTTCTCACACTGGCTTACAACCTGTTGGTCCAAGGGACAATGTGCAATCTACGTGGTTACAGTGTCTAACATCGTACATTTCACTGGCAAAGTAAGAGACTTTTTAAACCAAGACCAGTTCCATAATTCAGCTTATTAATGTCAAAACCAGTCTTCAGTGCCTACAAGTAGAGGAGACCAAAATAATTTAACTATCTTGTTCCTCACTCAACTGCCTCTGCCACTATGTAGCACTACTTTAAGTTAGACAATAAAACTTAATTAACGTTCTCTGACTGACTGGATAAATCAGGGGCCTCAACTTATGGCTAACCAAACTGGCTGGAATTAACAATGGGTAGTGAAGTAACTAACACATCTCTTAACAACCTCTCAATTCCATCTCAGTTTGGCCTTATGCACAGAACATTTACAGCTATTTTACTTTTCCATTTATTTATATGAGAAGTGTGTCAATTCCAGGTGAATCTGCAATCCTAACAAGGTAATCAACTTAAAAAAAATAAAAACCTTCTAATCCACTGTTAGAAGACAGGGTAAAAATAATTAGTTCTATTAAATCAGAACATCACTGCTATACCATCAGATTCCACCTCAACCAAAACACAAGCTCTCATCATTGTTAGACACCATGGGATGCAGTCACAAAATGTTAAGTTACAAAAAAGCAGGGAATATCAGTCTTCTCTTCACAAAACTACTTGCTTCAAGCTAAAGATCTTCCCATTAGAGGCGCCCAACTGGTGTTTTTGTTTGTTTGGGTGCCTTCCAGCAGCACATGCCTCCCTCCTGACCTCAGAGGGGATGTTCTTTCCGCAGATGTCAGCATATCCTTTATCCTCCAAGACACAGTGGAAGTAGACATCCTCCTTAGTGGATGTGTCACACAGGAAAAGATGCAAAATGCCATTGACATATTCATCCACAATGCCCACAAGTAGCTTGGAATGACACAGGTTCTTGAACAGGAGAGTTGCTGCACTGGACCATGTACCCTAAAGAAGAAACAAGAATATAAAAATACTATAAACAGACCAATATCCACCACCTGAGACTTCCCCCTGAAGGCACTTGTCAAAAAGGCAGTTAAGCTAGGTCAGGCTAGGGACAAATATAGGAAAGTCAAGCAGACTGGCTTCCCAGCACTGAATACATCAAATTACCCCAAAGCCTTTAATGCTAGTTATGCTGGGAATGCCCTTTCACCCTAATACCTATTTCCAAATATGGTTTGAGGGCCAGTGATTTTATCACAATTGCTTAAAATAGATTTTTAGGTTTTGCTTTTTTTGTTTGTTTGGTTGTTGTTTTTTTTTTTTTTTAATTCCTGGGATCCTGTGATTATAAATGTTAGAAGTGTGGTTAAGTTTTCAAGAGGCTGCTAAGCCTCACTGCAATAAGCACTGTGATTCTTTAACCCTCAAAAAACCCAAAAGAAATAACTTTTAAAAGATAATATCTTTAAAAGACAGAAGCTTTCCTTCAGAGATTTTATTTCTCAGGCTTCTTGACCAAGGCTTCCCAGCACACAGGAATTTTCTTATGACCTCTATAATTCCTTGGGTATGCTGACTGCATCAAAGCAACTCACTTGAAGCTCTGTCACTGACAGAAATTTTAAAACAGAGGACTGGAGCTACCAAGGCTTCAGAAGGACCCTGGAGAATTACTGGCAGGGAAAGAAACAAGTTTCATAGAATCACAGAATGGTTTGGGTTGGAAGGGACCTTAAAGCTCATCTAGTTCCATCCACCCTGCCACAGGCAGGGACACCTTCCACTAGACCAGTGTACTCAAAATCTCATCCAAGTTCCTGGCCTTGAACATTTCCAGGGATGGGGCAGTCACAACTTCTCTGGGCAACCTGTGCCAGTGTCTCACCACCAGCTTAACAGTAGCTATCTGTTTCTGCAACAATATAAGGAAGAATATTCTGATCATAAAGAAAACAGACAGAGGAAGGCAGAGAGAGAAAGACACTTAAGCAGTCATATTCTGCTGAACTTAACAGCAGCAATTCTGCTGTAAACATCAACAGGACCTGAATTAACCTGCGTTTGCCCTCTATTTGAGGGCAACTTTTACTCGGTAGCTCTCATACGTGTCAAGAAACAAAACTGCCTGTGAACACATACCTCCACGGGTTTTACCCATGCCAAGGAACACGGGATGGCCTGAGCAGGGAGCTTCAAGTAGCACCACCTACAATACAAAGCAAAGCCATCACCATTACATCAAAGTCAGAGCAAAGCCAGGCAAAGAGAAGAACTTCCTCCTCTTCTAGGTTTTAAAATCAGCTTAGGAATACAGAGGTCCATATTGGATTTTGTACTTAAGACTAAAGCCCAGCAGCGGTTTTGGAAAACGCTTCATATCCAAGAATGGGACAGCAAAAACAGCAGTAACAATTGGTCCCCTATGCCTTCCCTTGCCCAAGCACCTTCCCATCAAACCCCCTTATGATTACCAAGTTAGGGACAGAGAACAATGATTTTTGAACCAAAGAATGCCTGTGGGCAGGCATAAATTGAAGCAAATCATAGGGAAGAAGGAAATGGGGAAAAGGTACTGAATTACAGAGGAAAACAAGTACCCCTGACACTGCAAATGTGTCCAACTTCAACTGATGTCCGTTCAGAAGGATGTTCACATCCATCCACGGAACCCAGGAAGGAAGATTAGGGAGCTTGTCCCGAAGTAACAGAAAGCAGCAAGAGGAAAGACTGAGGAGGGAAGACAGAAAGAGGAAAGGATTTAGCCCAAAGTCACAGTGAGGGAGGGATGGACAGGGCTTGTGAGCAAAGGACCTAGAGTTATCAGAAAAACAGGTCTTAAATAATGTTGCTTACATTAGCATGTAAGCAAGGAAATGCCTCAGAGACACAATTATGGAATAAAAGCCCAGATTTTTTTCTAGGCAATCCACATTCTGGGATGTCTTTCTGAAGAAAGACAAGCCAGTCAGCCTTACCTCAATACCTTTGAAGGCAGCAGAACAACTAACCCTGGGAACCATTACAGGGACATGAAGGACAAAGTGACTGGGAATGGCCAGTGTGGATTCACCAAGGGGAAGTAATGTTTAACCCACCTGACAACCTTCTATGATGAAATGACTGGCTTGGTAGGTGAGGGAAGAGAAGTGGGTATTACTTACCCTGATTTCTATCAGGCTTTTGACACCATGTCCTGTAAGATACTCATAGGAAAGCTAATGAAATCTGGGCTGGAGGAGCAGGCAGTGAGGTGGACTGAGAACTGGCTGAAGGGCCAGGTTCAGAGAGCAGTAATCAGTGGTACAAATCTGGAGGGCAGGAACTAGCAATGTTACCCTGGGGGTCATGACTGGGTCCAATACTGTTCAACATCTTCATTAATTATGTGGGTGATGGGCCAAGACTACCCTCAGCAAATCTGCAAGTAAAAACCATCTCAACATGATCCTGGGCAGCCCGCCCTATATGGCCCTGCTTGAGTGGGAAGGCTGGACAGGATGACCTCCAGAGATCTCTTCCAACCTCAACCATTCTGCAGTCCTGGATCATTCTACAGTTCTGTGATTTACTTACTTGAGGAATCTCAGCCAAGACTTTCGGACAACTTCGAGGTTTCCGTAATCAGGGTAGAACACCTCCACATCTTTGTCATTGATCACACGGTGGATGATAACACGGTACCACCATTTCGAGATCATTACACAGCAAAGCTGTCCAGGCTGTACTGAAGACTCAGGCATGATATAACGATCAGAAACAAGTTTATTTGAGTAACAGTGTCTGCAAAAGATCAGAATGAGAAACCATGCTTTGTAGAATGCAGGAGATGAATACAGAGAAATATACAGGGCTTCAGAAGAATCCAGATTTCTCAAAGTGCTCATGACATGAATTTTCAGGACTTGTTTTAATAGATCATTTACCTCTCAGTTCTGACACACTCAAACTGAAATGGCAATTAAAAATGCAAACCCAAACTTCTAACATTTTAACTGTATTCTTGGGTTCCAACAAGAAGTTAATTAATGAGGATTAATCAGAAGCTACATACAACTATTCTAGTCATTAATGACATTACTTTGACATGACAATGCTTCCCATGAACCAGGTCCCGGTGTACTGGCTCACATACACAGTACGTCTGCAGACTCTAATCACATTTACACGTGCCCCACAGACATCAAGCATTTGCTTTGGCACACAATTAACAGCACTGTTGTGGTGGAACAGAATTCTAAATGCATAATGTAGCTGACACAAAGGCACTGACAGGATTTTGCTTTCAAATATAGGTCGGACAAAGGCCTGTTACCTGTTGCTTTTGGTAAGTGTTGGAGATGGGAGTAAAAGCCTTAACTGAGTACATTAACCATAGCAGCACAGACAACAGAGAGGTGCAAAGGAACCTTAATGTTCCTTTCCAGGCTTTTGAAGTTTAGAACTGTCTAGGACACAGCCAAAATACAGTGAATTGCTATTAACCATATTTATTGCTTGCAAGTTAAAAGGAATGGGTAGGCATTAACAGCATATGTTTCAGTACAGCACTGGCATCTCTCTATTAAGTAATCAAGCCACCAGTGACCATAACCAACATCTGGGTGCCATTTTCCTTCAGTACAAGCACACACACGAGTAGCAGTACTGAATCAGGATAGCATGCTCGCACCTCATGTCAAACATCATATCCTGCAGTTTATCAGATGTTTCCTCGCTGCATACGTGAACGTAGAACTGGCCAGGAGAGACAATTACTTCCACAAAGACTCCCACCAAACACCTTCTCTCCAGTGGTGGTAAACTGCAAAGACTTCTGTCCTGCACAGCATCTGGGGGTATTTCTGGAGTCATTATCAATTTGTCTAGTAGGGACTGCTCCAAATACTGAGTCTACAAAGGAATAAAAGGAGGGTGGCACTCAAATGTCTTGTCATGCACTGAACACACATAATTGTCCTTTCCACTTCAAAAAAAAAAAAAAACCAAAACAAACAACAGTTCTGCTTTTCTGGGGAAGTTACCGAGTATCAGATAATCCCAACAAACTGCACAAACTGGGATTAAAACTTCCCCTGTGACAGAAGCATTAATTTTCACATTCTCCATCTTTCCTCCTTCTTTCTTCCCTCTAGTTTAAAGAGGGGCGCAACAAAAAAACCCTTGCTTGAATTCCTGCAAGGAATAAAAGAGAAGAATTGAAGTCATGTAACATATTTAGAAAAAAAGTATTGAATAGGTATTGCTAGAAAAGCAAAACCAACCAAGTATCTACACCAAAAAACCCCAACAAAAACCAACAACAAAACAACCCACAAACAAAACATGGCAGTTTGTTGGATTTTACCCCAAAGGTGCTATTCCTATGTTCCATGACCATGAAAGAGTACATGACTGAATTAGCAAAACTACCTGAAAACAATTCAAAAGTGACAAAAGGCACAAATGCATCCCACTTTCACACTAAAGCTATTTTCCAAGGATAAAAACAAACAAAAAAGAAAAACCAATCCTACAAATTCTGTTCTTTTCTCACTCTTGACAATTGTACCTGAATGAGCCATTAGCCCAGCTTACAATTCTGTGTTAATTCTTTTACTCCCGAAAACATTATTTCATTTGAACTAATGTGTGGATGGGAACCTTAATTAGACATCAGCTGCTTTCACTGCTTCAAAAGCTTTCTCTTGTGCAAAAAAACAGCACTCATCCAATGATCAGAAGTCAAAATTATTTCAATTTTACTCACCTTGAACATGTTACAAGTTACCACTGCATTATACACCAGGCAAGGTATGGTAAATCTGTCTTCCAGCACACACACCATTGCGTGTATGGCTACATTCAATCGCAAACAATGGGGTTTTGCAATACAAGTTCTTTCAACCATTTTTTGAAGAAGAAGCAGACGAGTTTTCTGCAGACTGAGCAAGGGCTAACATCCTTGAATTTGAGTTAAAAGTTTTGACTAAAACACTGACTTAAACAGTGAGTTAACATTTTTGAGTTAAAGAGCAAGTGAGGGAATCCTTGCCTGAGCAGCAGCATCATCTCTAGAAAATACCCTTACATTTCACCCCATCCAGAAAGGGACATTTTTTCTCCGAAAATGCTCTTCATATCAGACTGTTAAAAGCACACATGATCTTCATAACCTAGCTCATACACTGGTAGCAACAACACACATTTCTTTGAAAGATGTATTTAAAAACATGCTCACAAAAAAGGAACAAATTTGTAAAAAGATAAACCAACAGAACACACTGCAAAACTAGGCTTACAAGAGGCATGGCCCGTGAGATAAACTCCTTGCCTTGTGCTGGACTGGAAACTGCCAAGATTGGTGCAGATGACACATTCTGCACAGGGCAGCGAGAAAAAGATGCCAAGAGCAAGAGCAATATATACTTTACCCTTCTCAGGGCCAAGGAGATTGACTCAGCCCTTGTTCCTCATTTGACCCTTACAACACTTCCATTATCAGTCTCTCATGACTGGATATTTGGACACCTTGCAGCATGACAGGAATGAGGTCTCATCTTTCCCCCTCCACCTTGCAGCATCCCAACAAACAAGTGTTCACTGCATACCCAAAATAACACATTTCAACCTGCTTTCCTCCTTTTTTAGGGCATTTAAAAACAACAAACAAAAAACCTCCACAAAAACACACACCCAAAAAAACAAACAAACAAAACCACAAAAAAACAACCCAACAAAACCAAAACCTAGCAAACTTGGTGTTTCACGACAAATACTGGTTGGACAAACATCTTCCAAGACTGCTCCTGCTAGGATCCTTAAACCGGTTCCTTTGCAAAAAAATCTGAAGCTACCTGGACCATAACCCCCATTTTTTCACCCTGCCCACTATCAGACTTTGTTTGATCTTGGGCAATTCCCTAGACTTCCTTATTCTCTGGACTTCATCACACCAAACTAAAATTTCTTTAAAGGATCAGAACAGCCTGCCAAAAACCTCTATAAAGGGTATGCTTTATGAAGTGCCACACAAAGTCCAAGTCATAGTCCCAGACTCCTAGGTTCATTCATACACAAAACACCAAAGCAGGAAGAACACCTAGGACCCTTTCCTGACCTATGTGCTCCAACTGTACAGGTGCATACAGCCATAAGATGAGCTTGGCTGACAACGCTCATTATTTCCTTTACTTTCATTACCCTTCTTTTGACAGTAGGATGATTTTCCTCAAGAAAAAGAAGGCTTAAAGATACTTAAAGGGAAAAAATAGAGAGGACACAAACAAATTCCTCCAATGAGGTCTGGCAGTTCAGACCCTATGTACTGTTCCTTCTCCATCCCCTTCTAAACATATACTGCTATAAAAAAATCCACAAAACCAAAGCAAACAAACAAACAAACCACTCAAAGTTTCCCAAGTCCCATCAAATAGGAGAGTTGAGACTGCAGGAATTAAGGTCTCTGAGGGCCAAAGACTGTTGGTTAATATTCAAGGATCACCTACTGCAAGCATCCCAACTAGAAGGAAGTGCAGCAGGAGGGCCAGGAGACCTCTCTGGATAGATAAGGAGCTGCTGAGGAAAATGCAAAGGAAAAAAGAGGCTTATAAAAGCTAGAAGCAAGGACAGGCCACCTGCCTGGGTGTTGTCTGGGAAGCTAGGGACCAGGTTAGGAAAGCTAAGGCCCGGTTAGAATTAAACTTGGCTAGGGATGTTAACAGGGATTCTATAGGTATGTAGCAAATAAAAGACTAGGGACAACATGGGTCCTCTCCAGAAGCTATTGGGAGAACTGGCTACCCTGGATTTGGAGAAACCTGAGGTTCTTAATGACTTTGCCTCAGTCTTCACTGGCAAAGGCTCTGACCACACCACCCAACTCTTGGAAGGCAGACACAGGGACCATGAGAATGAAGACCGTAGACCCACTGTAGAAGAGCATCTGGTTTGAGACCATCTTAAGAACCTGAACATGCACAAGTCCATGGGACCTGATGAAATCTATCTGCGGGTGCTGAATGAGCTGGCAAATGAAGTTGCTAAAGGCACTGGCCATCATATTTGAAAGATCGTGGCAGACAGGTGAAGTTCCTGATGACTGGAAAAAGGGAAATATAACCCCCATTTTCAAGAAGGGGAAAATGGATGACCTGGGGAACTACAGACCAGTCAGTCTCACCTCTCTGCCTGGCAAAATCTTGGAGCAGATTCTCCTGGAAGGCATGCTAAGGCACATGAAAATCAACAAGGTGCTTGGTGACAGCCAGAATGGCTTCACTAAGGGGAAATCCTGCCTGACCAATTTGGTGGCCTTCTATGATAGGGCTGTGGAACTGATGGACAGGGGTAGAGCAGTTGATGTCATCTACCTGGACTTGTGCAAAGCGTTCGACACTGTCCCACACGACATCCTTGTCTCTAAATTGGAGAGACATCAATTTGATGGATGGACCACTCGGTGGATTAAGAACTGGCTGGATGGCCACACGCAAAGAGTTGTGGTCAGTGGTTCAGTGTCCAGCTGGAAACCAGTAATGAGTGGTGTCCCTCAGGGACTGGTGTCAGGACCGGTCTTGTTTAACATGTTCGTCGCTGACATGGACAGTGGGATTGAGTGCGCCCTCAGCAAGTTTCTTGATGACACCAAGCTGTGTGGTTCGGTTGATACACTGGAGGGAAGGAATGCCATCCAGGGGGACCTTGACGCGCTTGTGAGGTGGGCTGATGCCAACCTTATGAAGTTTAACCATGACAAGTGCAAGGTCCTACACCTGGGTCGGAGCAATCCCAGGCACAGCTACAGGTTGGTCAGAGAAGACATTCAGAGCAGCCCTGTAGAGAAGGACTTAGGGGTGCTGGGTAATGAGAAAATGAACATGAGCCAGGTAACGGGTTCAAACTTTAACAGGGGAAGTTTAGATTGGATATAAGGAAGAAGTTCTTTACTGTAAGAGTGGTGAGGCACTGCAATGGGTTGCCCAAAGAAGTTGTGAATGCTCCATCCCTGACGGTGTTCAAGACCAGGCTGGACAGAGCCTTGGGTGAGATGGTTTAGTGTGAGGTGTTCCTGCCCATAGCTGGGGGGTTGGAACTAGATTATCTTAAGGTCCTTTCCAACCCTAACTATTCTATGATTCCCCACCTCTGTCACACAGCTGCTTGACACTTAAGCCATACCTACTGCAGCACGGGAGATTCCACACAGCTAGTCTCAGAACAAAATTACTGAGGTCCAGTTACAATAAAGTACACCAAAAGGTATAACGACTATTATCATGGAGCAAGATGATGCTTAATTGACCCCAGATGATATACAACACGGATCTCAAGACCAGAAAGAGACCCAGTTTGTATGGCATATAAAGCTATATACCAGATCAGTATGAGTTTAGTCACCTCCAGGCTCATCCAAAACAGGTACAAAACTCTTTGGAAGCAGCAGCGCATCAACAATGCAAACTTAACAGAAACAAGAGCAGAAAAATAAAGAGTATCACTCCCTGGATTAAGACATGAAAGAACTACAGATCGCTTGTCCAGCCACTTACTTGTTTGAGGCCATCACCCAAATCTACTGCTTGTGTTTTCACTGGCTCTGACTTCTCTTCTGCTGCTAGATAACAGCTCTCTGTCTCACAGATGGGTTCCAAAGGAGACATCCTAACTGCAGTTGCTCCTGCAAAGATAATAATTTAGCTGTTATTCTTTGTTGGAGTGATGCAGTGCTCCGTATTAAGCAGAAAGAGAAGACAAATGAAAAGTCTGAAAGCACTGGTGCTGTTTCCCTCACCTCTGGTACCATTCACAGCCACCAGTCATGAGTATTCACTTCAGAGGCACCATTCACTATGCTAATACATCAAAAGAAAACAAAACACACTTGCTTATGTAGGCATACTAACGGTTAAATCACTTACTAGAATGATGCACAGACAGAACAGTTGAGAATTTGACAGGAACTATATGTGATTTTCTGCCTTCTCTCGTGCTGACGACATCTGCAGTCTCTTGTTTTGTGGAATATTGCAGCTGTGCCTTTCAAACTAGTGCTAAACTTTCACTCTGAAAAACTGCATTGGAAAGGCTTTATCAGCCTGCAGAGCAGACGTTCAGGAGATCCTTCTATGTTTGCTACCTGTTGCTTGGAATTACTAGAAATTCCAGTCCTACACACACAAGCAGAAAGTCCATAGTTTGAATGAGCTAAACATCCCTTCTTTCACCTCATACCAAAAAAAAGTGGTAACCTACAGAAAACTTCCAGTTGAGCTCTCTGCTACCAAAACAACTCCCCTGTGACAGCTGCTTCTGCAGTACCCCACAATCCTTCTGTGCTAAAACCTACGGGAACCAGGACTACAGCAACTGGAAATGCAGTAACGCCCTCTTGAAACACAGTTGCTTGGCGACAACGCTTGTGAGACACCACCACCTCATCTTGAAGAATCTCTTCCTGCGTCTCACCTTGTGGCATCTCTTCCCGGGTCTCACCCTGTGGCATCTCTTCCCACGTCTCACCGTGCGGCATCTCTTCCCACGTCTCACCCTGCGGCATCTCTTCCCACGTCTCACCCTGCGGCATCTCTTCCCACGTCTCACCCTGCGGCATCTCTTCCTTCTTTATCTCACTTGCCAGATGCTTCTCCAGGGTCAGCAAGGAACCTGCTTTTGTCTGCTCAACCACAATGATATCAGACACACTTTTCAGGACTTCAGACATGGAGAAAAATCCATATTGTGTGTACTCAAACACCCGGCCAAAGCGTCTAAAGAAGGCATTATGAAAGTCCAAGAGCAGAAGCGGTGAGGAACTCAGCAGATCCTGCAACTCAGCCTTCACCGTTGCTGGCAGGGTGGGAGCCTTGCCCCTCCGAGGGAAACTCTGTGGATTCTTATGGGAAGAAATAGCATCTGTCCTCACAGCAGCACTCTTCCGCTCCTTAGCACTTCTCCTCTGTCTAGCAACCAGTTTGGCAATTGCTTTGGTGGTCTCATCTGCAATGGCTACAACAGAAAGAAATAAACTATTAGACTACCAAAACAGCAAACCATTAAAAGCTCTACAAAGGCAAAACTCCTTTTCATTCCTAATCCCTCCACCTTTTCCAGAAGCAGGTGTCTCCTTCAAAAGCAATCACACTAAACTGTGGCTGATTTACAGCAGGGAAACCACTTTTCCTCTTGCTTTCAAAACTGGACTGAACCACTTTTAACAGACAACAGCCAAACTGCACCCTTATCCCTATAAACCTAGATCCAGGTAAGAGGGCAATCAAATCCTTAACAAAGGATCAGAAGAGGAGATCCAGCTGCTTGCAAGTTTTGGTGGGAAAACAGTAAATGGCTCATTGCTCCCCTCAGCCAGAATCACAGTAAACCCTCACAGCATTTGCCCAGGCAAGGTCTCCCTGGACTTACTATAGCAACCAACAATTTCCACCTACCACTTGTTTCCCAACAAAAAGGAAATGAAAATTAAAAACATTCTCTGATATAGACTAAACCTCCCATGGGGTCAGGTAGGGAAATGTGTCTGAGAGGCCTCATCCCTGGCTTTGGCTCCTGCTGTACTATGCATTTACAGGAACAGTGAAGCTTACCCATTCTAGTGTACCCATAAGAAACGTTACTGCAGTTTCTAAACTAAGTGCATAATGCAAAACGTACAAAAGTAACTGGAAGCTGCTGTGATTTTTCTGAGGAAGAAAAAGCAGACAGGAAGAAAAAGCAGATAAAAAATATACGAAAAAACATTAATGAAAATAAATAGACCTATAGGAGAAAAAAAAAATACAGAGATATGTGACTTAAAGCTAGCTTTAGGAATTCATCCTGCACATCCCTGCTTTGGAGCATCACTTCATACCAGTATGTGGTCCCAAATAATTCCTCCACCCATAAGGAAACAATATCTCACCTTTGAGGATAAAAGTGCCTTTCCCACAAGTATAGATTCTGACAACTTCAGGCATATCTGCCACCAGCTCCAAAGTGGACTGGAAACCCAGGTCATGTACAGGAAGTGGCTTGCCAATCATGGCCATGTACTCGTGCTCCAGCTGAGCTGGGGTTAAGCCCTCCTTGGCAGCCATTAGCAGCGATCTCACCTCCTTTTTCAGCAGCTCCATAAGCTGTCCCTTCTTTGACACGTCTGGCCTAAAGGGGAAACAAAAGCAAGCAGAAGACAAGTCAAACCACAGCAACAGCAGCACAGGCAAAAGACTTTTTATCACTTAGCATCTGAAAGCTGGGGAGGGGAGAACAGTACAAGCAGCCAGGGTCACCAACAAACACTACCTCCCTGTATTTCCTTGCTCACACCCCTGGAGCTGCCGCCCTCCAGCACCCTCGTACTCAAGCTGGCTCCTCCTGCACTCACTGCCTCCTCCCATGTGATTTCCCCTAAACCCGGGCCTGCAGATTCCCCCTCTGCTTCACAGGGTCGCTGTCCGACGGGACAACAGCGATTCCTGCAGCCCTAAAACACAACTCGAGAACCCCCAAGGCACAACGCCAACGCCAACGCCAACGCCAACGCCACACCGCCCGCACCCGCCGCCTCGCCCACCACACTCCTCTGCGCCTGCGCGCTCCTTTTCCCGCCCTTCCGGGGCGCGAGGGCGAGGCGGGTCCTCCCGTTTGCAGCGGGGCCGTGAGGGCGCCACCGGTGGAGTGGTCGGTGGCCGGGTGGCCTGTGCCCAGCGGCCCGCCGGGGGCTTGCACGGAGCTGCAGCCCCTGCTTTCTGAGTTTAAACGTCAGGTGTGTCTCCCTGCTGACAGGAAACGTTAGCACATTGCTAAAGAGCCACGCACAGAAAGGGAGCAGTCCCTTTAAGGTGGATACTTAAACCCCAACGCTATTAAGAGTGTTTTCTGGTCCCGTTTAAGAGGAAAAGGTACAGCAGAGACGCTGGGTGACTTTCCCAAGGCCAAAGAGCCTGGTAAACTGTCGTGCAGTATCTGAAGGTGGGCTATAGGGATGCTGGGGAGGGACTCATTAGGGACTGTAGTGACAGGACAAGGGGTAACGGGTTCAAACTTTAACAGGGGAAGTTTAGATTGGATATAAGGAAGAAGTTCTTTACTGTAAGAGTGGTGAGGCACTGGAATGGGTTGCCCAAAGAAGTTGTGAATGCTCCATCCCTGACGGAGTTCAAGACCAGGCTGGACAGAGCCTTGGGTGGCATGGTTTAGTGTGAGGTGTCCCTGCCCATGGCAGGGGGGTTGGAACTAGATGATCTTAAGGTCCTTTCCAACCCTAACTATTCTGATTCTATGCAGTGGCTGTTCCCTGAGGGCTCATGGTCATGTGAGAAACCCACTCAACCGTGCAGTTAATTTCCAAACAGGTATGCTTCAAAATGACAAGGGCCTGAGGCTGTGGCTTTCGGGATGGCAAAGGTTGCAAACCCGTTAGCACATGCTCTCAAAGTATTTCCCCTGTGTGGAGGTAGTGGCCAAAATCATTCCCTGGGGCTTGAGGAGTCGGGACCCACTGGTCCATTTAAACATCAGGCAAAACCAGAAAGCTGCAGGTGTGTAGGTGTCAAATATGTCAGAGTGCTTTTGCCAAGGAATCAACCAGAGTCCATGCTGCCCAGACAAAACCAGACCGGAGGTGCTGTTGACTGCTGCTGCTGAACATACCACCTGCCCTTTCAGTAGCTGAAGAGCATCTCCCCCTGTCCCATGTGGGCTGAGTGATAAGCACAAGGTGAAAAAGCTTTCTGCAGCATTTCCAGTGCAACTGCAGACACTGTGTAAATTTATTAATTACACTCCATTTCCACCCAACTTTTCTCTGCCGTTAGCCTTCTCCATCCATCGCTTCCCCGGTGACCTGCTGATGAGGCACGCAGCATTGACAGAGCAGGTGCTCTTGCCCTCCCTGCCTGCAATATCCTGACTCTGCACAGTCCACAGGTCTCCAATAAAGCAGGAATCCATGAAAAAACAAGAGCAGCACTTCCCTGGCCGGCTTCCTGTCTCCCTCCAGCTGCTCCTCCACACCAGAGACTGGGCAACCCTGAGCTCAGCACTGCCTGTTGACAGAGAAGTTATTGCCTTGTCTTGCTGCAGCATTATTATTTCTAGCCAGGTGCTGGTTTCTTTAATATGATAAGTGACTTTAAAACACTTTAAGAGTGTTTCTTCCAGAGTTTTCTACAGATGTCAACACAGACTGAGCATCATGAAAAGAAAAAGCTCCTATGCTTGCTCTGCCATGCTCTTGCTTTGGAAAGCCAGAAAGGCATTTAGACACAGGAATTTAGATTACACAGCTCTAACTCTTCAATGGATTCCATGCTTTGCACCCGTTCGGAAAAGTTCATGGTTGAAATAGGACCAGCTGATTTCCCTCCCTTCAATAATATGAGGTGACCCTACAGAGAGGGAGTTTGTTGCCAATGTCCCTCCATTGTACTAGCCAAAGGGTTTCTAGGGAACAGACCAGTGAGATGCTACTCACCTAACTGTTCTCTGCAACACCCCCTCCAAACACCCCTGAGTAAGCAACTGCTCTCACTAGTAAAGGTTTTTCGCCCTGCTGTTTATTGTTCTGGACCACCCCACCATTTGAGGTCTTTGCAGCTGCGCGTCTGACAATTACTTTTAGGTTGCTTTTCAACAGCTTTGCAGAAACCACCTACTAAAAATCATCTGAGTGCTTCTGATTGTAGTTTATTTTGAAAGGCAGGAAGATGCAAACAGAATGTCCTTCTGGAGTCCAGGGTCTAACTTTAAATCTCATCTCCACAGCTGTGTGTGAAGAGAGCAGAGCAGCTGGGAAACAGCTTGATCACTTCACTGTCCACTGTGTCTGACAAGCCTGTGATAAACTTGAAACAAGACTCCTTGATCTGACACTTTCCCATTCTCTCCTCCCCTGCCTGGTTTTCCTGCCTGAAGCAATAAATTCAAGCACAAATTCATCCCACTCTCACAGGCAGCTGCATGCTCCTCAGCACACATGAGGATGGATAAGAGGTCTCGGAGCAATTCCAGGGAGTCTCACAGGAGACGCAGAGAGTCCCCAGCTACACAGAGCAAACGAGAGAAGAGAGAGAGCAGCAGAGAAGCCAGCAAGCGAAGGGGAGACATAAAGCAGGAGAAACCGAAGGAGATCAAGAGCACCACAGGGACAGCTGGTAGGGTGCACACATCCACAGTGGTGGATGTGGATGATGTGGTATCTGATGAAGAAATGGAGGCAATGGCATTGCTGGACAGCGAGCAGCAAGAGGAAGGTATGTTTTATACAAGGGAAGGGGCTCTTTGACCATGTATGGGTCACTATGTGACTCTGCTGTCTGCATGGTGTCTTCACACCCACCTTGCACAGATTCTCAGGACAGCATATGGGAGATTCCAGCCAGCCTCTGCAGTCAGTTCTGCAGGCTGAGCAGCACTGTGTCACAAAGCAAATAACTTTGCAAAAAGCAGCTACATCCCCAGCATCCTTCATGCTTCAGCTCATTACTCCCCAGTTCTAGTCATGCTCTGTTCTCTCTCTTTTCCTGCTTGCTCTTCTTTAGGTGCAGAAAGTTAGCCTTAAGGCCAGTTCATAGTCAGAAGGACTGAGCTGCAGGGAGGAACTGTGCTTGAGGTGCATACTCATAGCTCCGTGTCTGGATAACCTTTAAGAGCAGCTACTCTCCAGGCTGTGTGTTTCTTAAGCAGATTCCCAGCTACTCTCCAGGCTGTGTGTTTCTTAAGCAGATTCCCAGCCTGCCATGGTTAGAGGGAGAATCGTGGGTTGTTTGGCAAGATGACTGGGCCTCTTTCAACCCACCATCACCACAGGAATGACAGATGTGTATTACAGAACCAGCATCACTTCCATGTGAAGCCACTATCTGCTTCCATGCCAGCGGCTCTGCTGCCGTAGAGTGACATAAAGGTTCAGACTTGCTCCTGTCTGTCTGGGAACTAAGTTTTTCACCTCTGTCTCTTTTCCGCCTCAATTACAGGAATTCTAGCTAGTGAGCAGTGCTGTGGAGCTCTAGTCATCACACAGGTTCTTGGAATGTGAACCTCCTTCAGGACCTGGTGGCTCTGCAGAGAGCTCCAAGGGCAAAAGGGCAGGGATGGAAGGGCTAGAAGGTATTTAAAATAGAAGGGGTGCAAGAATGCTAACTTTACTAATGGAAAACATGCTACACTCTCTGGGTGAGGTGCACCCAGAAGTTATCTATTTTCATGCCATATGTGCAGATTTTCCCTCGGGCAGGAGCACAACAAAGAGCAGCCAGAGCAAGATGACCCACACTCTCTTTGGGAAGATGTAGAAGGTAATATTCATCTGGGGCTGACCACCCCAGCCAGCTTTCAGCATCTTGATTTCACTGCTGTAGAGCACAGAGATTTCCGCAGCACCAGTGGCTTGGTCCTACTGCATTAGGGAGCTGGGTAAAACTAAAATCCTATTCTAAAACAACCTGAGATACTCTGATAGGGATGGGCACTTCAAGTTGTGCATGTTGAGAGCTACCTCTTATTTACAATATTTCTCTTTGCCATTAGCTTATCTTTCCAGATAAGCTTCTGAGATGCCGGCTCAGCCAGCAAGTTGCCCATTCCAAGCCTTGAACTCTGCTTGGTAGCAACAGGTCTTCAAGCCAAAGGCTTCTCTCATTGAGGTACCATGGGGAAGCATGGCTCAATATCTGCCAGTAAAGCAGAGACAAAATCTGTCAGTCCATCCTAGCAGTTCCTGTCCACCTGGGGCAGGGACTATTCTTTAACACAAGACCAGAGAAGGCCAAATGCTTCACATACAATGAGTCTAGGTAGAGGACAATAGTGAAGCTGAGCTGTGCAGGTACTTCTCAGGCAATCAGTATTTAGAGAGCAGTCCTCTCTTAACAGTGTCATGTTGAATTTCTCCCTAGGTGTAAAGTCTCCGGGTATGGGCATCTGCGAGTGGCTTCTGACCATCTTGTCTTTCCTGTTCATCATAATGACCTTCCCCATTTCTGTCTGGTTCTGCATGAAGGTGAGAACAGTCATGGGTCCTTTCTGGGTTTAGTATTTGGTGTCTGATGTGGATTGTAACTTACTGGTTCAGCATGTTTCAGACATGAG